ACCGGTTCCTTGGTGGCTTTGAGAGCTATCCCCTTTTTCTTTTGTTCATCCAAAGACGGGGTTAGAATAGTAGATTCATAGGTTTTAAGGTTACCTCTTAGCCCGTCGATGGTGACGTTGGAGACTCCGATGGATTCGTAGATTGCATCGGCTTTTGACCTCCATTCGGGTGTGAGACTCCGCAGGATTTTCCTCACAAGATCCTTGTTGGTGTAAGTTTTTTTGAGAGCATGAAGATCGTTGATGATCTTTGAGAACCGATCGAACATGTCATCGATTTTCTCACCTTCTTTCATTCGGAACATTTCGTACTCTTGGGTGAGAAAATCGATCTTGGCTTCACGAACTTGATCGCTACCTTCGTACGTCACTTCAAGCTTGTCCCACATCTCCTTGGCGGCTGTGCAGCAGGAGATCTTTCGGTAGTCATCGGGGTTGACCGTGCAATATAGCATGTTGATGGCCTTTGCATAGTTTTCAATCTTCTTGATATCATCGGCATCGAATTCGTTTTCGGTCTTTGGGAGCGTGGTTTCTCCCACTTTCTTCATAGGGATTTCTTCGCCATTTTTGATCACCAACCACAATTGGAAGTTGGTGGAACGAATATAGATTCTCATCCATTCCTTCCAATAAGAGTAGTTGGTGCCATCAAAAAGTGGTGGCCTAGAGGTTGATTGACCTTCTCCAATTCTTGCATAGAGATTTCTAGAAGAAGAGCCCATGATCGCTTTACTCTCAAACGGTTAAGTTTGGACGCGAGTTAGGCTCTGATACCAATTGTTAGAATAATAGAACAACGCTAGAGGGGGGGTGAATAGCGTTTGATCAAGAAATCGCAGGAATAAAAATGAATAAACGAGAAGTAAAGAGAAAAGAAAGAGGCACACCGATTTTACCCTGGTTCACCACAACTTGTGGCTAATCCAGCCTCCCGAGAGACTCTCTCGAGCTACACTACTATCTCGTTAAGCTTAACGGTGCTTAACAAACCCATACAACTTGAGAATTTGAGTCACACGAACCTCAACGAACCTTCGAAGGAAACAGCCCTTCCTTCGAACAACAAGAGAAATACCTTCTCTTGTCAAGTGTCTAAGAACACTAAAAACACTCAAGAACAATACTCTCTTTTAGAGTGGATATTGAGTAAACTAAGAACGCTCAAAAACAGAACACAAGCTTCACAAAAATGGCTCTCAAAAGCTATGAATAATTGAAGAATGATTTGAAATGAAAGAGTAGGAGTTGTGAAGTAATGTGATGTGTAAAACAGACCCAAACACCCCATTTTATAGTAGAAAAATAGGCTCCAACGGACCAAAGTATTTAAGGGGTGATTGACACAATTTGTGGGATTTGATAAAATTTGGATCTGCTGAAAATCACCCAGACAGCGCTGTCCTAGGCCTGGACATCGCTGTTCTAGGCTTGCGGTTTGAAAAATGGGAAGCAACGGTCATGCCAACAGCGATGTCTAAAATCCCTACATCGCTGTTTTGGCTGTTGACTTCCAAACAAGGAAAGTTTTAGCCTTAAATTCCTTCCAACGGTCAGGTCTCTACATCGATGTTATATACTAGAACATCGCTATTTAGGTCTGCCTTTGAAGATGGAAGTTTGGCCTGACAGCGCTGTTGCTGGGTCAATGATAAGTCCATTTCGTTCTTATCATTTACATCATATTTTAAACGTTATTGCACGTAAATAGTATTTAATCATCTTATAAAATGTGATTTCAATGAATAAAACTCTCATTTTCGTTCTAAGAGTCATAAAAAGGGATTCCACATGAAATTATCATAAATCATCCATTTTATGTTCAAATACTTGAGAAAAAGGGAATAACTCATCAAGGGATCAAGATTCGGGCTTGAACGAGCTTCCGAGAGGTCAAAAACAATGTTCGGGGCCAAAAAGGAGCGAAATTGGGCCGAAATCACGAACCAGCCGCGAAGCCCAACTAAGGAAGGGCCTAAGGCGTCCAACTTGGACGCTTGGCCAAGTTGGACGCTTGGGAGTTGGACGCTTTGGCTTAATTGCAGCCCAAGAACGACACGTGGCAAAATCTGGTTGGCCGGGACAGCTTAAGCGTCCCGATCTGGACGCTTGGACTTGGACGCTTTGACTTGGACGCCTTGGCTTCGTTCCTATAAATACAGCGCGATTCTCCCCATTCAACACATCACTTTCACTCCCATTTTCGGGAATTGAGCCTTATATTCCAATTCCGAGTATTAGCTTAGTATTTTAGTAGTTTTAAAGTAATTTTTGGAGGAATTCTACTCCCGATCTGTTCAGTTCCGCTTGTACGGAAGTTGTAAGTTCTCTTTACTTAATAAAATGCTGTTTTAATTTATGTTTGCATAGTATGAGTTAGTGTCCGGATCTCTGGGTCCGGACTAGTTTGGTTGTTTATTCTTTTACGTTAAAATAATGTTGGAATGGTTAATCTATTGTTCTTGCCTTATTTGGTTAATTAATATCGGAAGATTTAATTGGCCATTTATTGAGAAAATATTGTATGCCAAAAGGGCTATGATATTCAAGTACAATGGATTAAGTACAAATCTAGAAATGGATGAGTAGCAATAGAAATATTATTATTCCAATTGTTAATTTAATATGATAAAATAGATCCAGATGATGTCCAGACCCTAGGTCCAGATCTATACTTATACTATGTAAACTTAATTTTTTTTACTTTTACTCTGTTCAATTTATAATCGTTCCGAGAAGACTTTCATAAACCAATCCTAACCTTCGCCTAATTAGAGTAATTAAATTAATTCCCTTCGTCCAGTCCTCAAGAGATACGACACTCGAAGAGAAAACTAACCCTTTACTGGGAAGGTTTGCTACCCGAAAAACTATAACTGTCAAATGGCGCCGTTGCCGGGGAGTGGCACGGCATTAGTTTAATTTCTTCTGATTAGCTTGGGTGAAGATTGGTTAGAACGATCTTCTCACTTCTTTTCACCAACCACCCGTAATAATTATTATGGATAACCCCTGTGGTTATTACGGTCCGCCTTCTTTCTACCATTCACCCAACCGCCCTCCGTACCAAACCCATTCACCTTACCACCCACATCAGAACCCATATGATGATGACTACCAAGTTGAAAATAGGTCTGACTACTATCCCTACCATGAGGAACCACCATATGATACCCCGTCTAGGAACTTTGGATATTCTCCATACCAAGATTCTGATGGGGACAATTATTATGAACCTCATGGTGACCAATATGACTATGACCAATTTGGGCCTATGTGCGACGATCAACCTGATCCACTCGTCGAAGAAATCCTAAGATTAGAACAAAAAATCTTCTATTTCGACGAACATTTATTCGCTGAAGGCTCCTGGTATGAACCACCCTACTCCCGTGACTACACTTTGTTTGCTGAAGAACAAATTGGAGCAAACAAGGTGGCAATTCGAGAAAGAGCAAAACTTCTTGAATCAGTCCGGAAGGAAAAGGAGTTCCAAAGGAGATTACACGAAGGATCAGAATTGATGCAGAAAATGCTGGATGACTTTCAAAGAGAGAGACTAGAAGCTGAGGATAAAGCTGATATATAGTCAATGATCTCCGCAAGGCTATTGAGCTTAAACGCTCCCTCCAACCTCAAGATCCACAATTGGAGGAAGTTAATGGTCAAAAAGAGGCTCTAGAACCTAAGACCAACCCTGAACCATCCAACCATCAGGTGCCAGTTCTAAAAGATTCACCAAGTTCTACATTATCACAGAAACCCGAGTGCATAACAACTCTTGCTGGGGCTACTATGGTGATGTTACCCGAATACCCTCCAAGCCAAGTCTCAACCGGCACAGTCGTACATGAGGTGGAACCAACTGAGGGACCTGGCTCAGAACCACCTACGCTCATTCAAGAAAAAGAGGAGGAAGTTTTGCCTACGGCAATAAACGACCATCTCCTTAATTGTGTTCAAGACACACCTCCAGAGGAACCTGTTCTGGAGAAAGTAGAACCCATTACCTGCCCCCAAGATTCAATTGAGTCCGAGCAGGAATCTACAGACGAGGAAGTACGTTACTCTGATAAACTAATTTCGTCTATAGAAACCTGCACAACTAATAATTCATCAGACCATACCTTCTTTGATTCCCTACTCGACGAGTATGACTATGCCTGCCTGAAGGATGGTTGGAACTTAAAGAGTTGGGATGAACTTCTAATGAGTGACGACGAGGACCCTTCCTTGGGGGAGGGTACGATCATAATCATCAAACCGCAAATGGATAGTCAGCCAATTGATGATAAGGAAGGAATCAATTTCGCAACCAAGGCTAACGATGTGGATCTATTGAGGAGACTTCCGCCCCCACCCACCTATACAGAGTCTCCTCCATATACCCTGTTGCCACCAAGCCGCAGGGATGAGTCAAGGATCCTGGATCTTGACCGAGCAAAAGTTCGAACAGTGTGGCATCAAAAGAGAGTCAAAAGAGCCAAACTTTATGACTCTTGAATCGGAAGGTCGCGGAAAAAGTGGGTGAGCGACAAGCTACGGACGTTAAAGAAGCGCTTAAACGGGAGGCAACCCGTCATTCAGATAACTAAATTATGCTTATTTATATTTTACTTGCCGCACCAGTAGGGGGCAAGATTTTACTCGTTTTACTTTTCTGTTCTACAGATGGATGTTGCTTGGATGATTCCGCATGGAAACCGCCGCACATTACAGAACTTGGAAGAGCTCCCCTTGCACTCAGAAGAAGCAAGGAAGAAGTTTCTCACTTGGGGGAACACGAAGATGCTCCAGCCTCCCATGGTGCTAGACCCTGCCTACCTGGATGAACTAGGGCACTGGCAGGACATTGATGAGTTTCTGTACAACCCAAAATGGAGGATCCTGCTGTTCTTGCAAGCACCAGCAAGCCTGGAAGTCACCATCGAGTTTCTTTGCTCTCTCCGCTTCCACAATGACGGAGAGCAAGTAAAATCAACAGCTGAAGTCACCTCCACCACTAAGGTCACATTCACTCTGATGGGTCGACTGCTGAGCCTCACCGTGGCAGACTTAGGGTGGCTGATTGGTCTTTACACACTTGACGAGACGCGGAGCTTGGCCTTTGCTAATCTGCCCGACCAGTTGGATCCAGAGTTCGATGTGAGGAAGTTCTGGCAAGCTCACGGGTATGGACGATATCACAGTGGAGCAAGCATAGCTAGGAACTGGGTGCGTCCGTCTTGGAGAATTTTACACCATGCATTGACTCACAGCTATTTCGGCCGTTCTCGTGACTCCGATGTAGTGTTTGATTCTGATATGCTATTTTTCTGGAGTCTGGAAGCGCACGTACCAGTCAACCTAGCAACTTTTGTGGCGCGATTCCTATTTGCTCAGTCGACCAGCAACCACCAGTTTGTCTTATGTGGGCCAATGGTTACGCTTCTGGCCCGAGGATTATGTATGACAGTCCCCAATGTTCTCCCAGAGGCCGCAAGCATGTTCCGACCGTCGACAAGGTATTTGACCCAGATCGCTTATAATAAGGAGGACAAGGAGGCACGCCCCAGAAAGCAGCATAGAATTCCCATGACCCTTCGCGAGCTTTCACAGGCTATGTTTGCATTCCAGGATTCTGTAGACTCTCGCTTAAGGAGCATGGAGACGCTCCTTCTCACGCAGCAATGGCAAGTGGAGGAAATACTTGAATACACCCGGGAGCAAGGAACAAAGAAGGCCGAGCATAAGGAAGGTCCTAAACAAGGCAAACGTCAGGGATAGTGAGATCCCTAATTTCTTAATACTGCATTCAGAACATCATTATTGGATATTTATATGATCTTATTTTGGAATTTCACATTATGACTCTTAAACCCATTTTGAGAAGTTTTATGCTTTATTTTATATTTACATGTTATGGTCATTTATTATTTCAATCTTCATCGTTGAATCTTGTAAGTATTGA